AAAAAAAAAAAACACAGTTTTCCCTCTCAGGTGATCCTACATATTTTGAGAACTGCTTTTTTTTCTTTTTTTTTAGGTCCAAGTTGGTACTTAGACTAGGTATCTGACGCTTTCTCGCTCATTGGCTAGTGTTCTGCCAACTTAGCCATGCCTTCAAAGCCCTACCCCCTTTTCTTTTTGGTTGGTTGTGGGGCTTGAACTCAGGGTCTGGGCTCTGTCCTTGAGCCCTTTTGCTCAAGGCTAGCACTCTACCACTTTGAGCCACAACACCACTTGCAGTTTTTGAGTGGTTAATTGAAGGAAGGTAAGACTCTCACAGGGACTTTTCTGCCTGGGCTGGCTTCGAACCTCAATCCTAGGATTATAGGTATAGGCCATAAAAGCTAGAGAAGTAATGCCTTGGGTTTGGAGGTGTGAGTCAGGTGGTAATGCACACGCTAATGAGCAAAAACATCAGATACTGAGTTCAAATCCTAGTCCAAAAGGCGGGGGGGAATGTCTATTTAGAGTACAATAGTTGCTATGAGTTATAAGTGAGTCTTAAGTTTTCATAATTTTCTAAAATAAACTCATTTAAAGAATGTCATATTCTTTTTTTTTTGTCATATTCTTAAATATCCTGTTCTTTTATAATGGCTTTATTTTTATAAAAAAAAGTAACTGTTAAAAATAACTCAAGATATATTACAAAGGTAGAAAATGAAACTTCTTATTGTCAGGAAAACTCTCAAACTTGCAAGCATCTTCTCATATTTTTCTGTTGGAGAAATCATGTAGTACATTGTATGTTAGTCTGTAATCTGTTGATTTCACATAATATAAATAGCATTTTCCCAAGGAAAATAAATGTATAATTGTTACCAAATATAATTTTTATTTCTGGAAATACTGAAGTAACTACTTTAAACCTTAGTTATAAATTCCTTATATTAAAATAATAGTTTTTTCTTTTTTCAGTGTTGGGGATTGAACCACAAGAAATTATTTCTAAGTGTATTTAATTAATTTAAAAATCCAATTAAAAGAACGCACTATCTTTTCAAAATCAATACAATAGTTTTCATATAGTATCAGAATTCTTTTTTTTTTTAATTGTGAAAATACTGTACAGAGGGGTTACAACTAGATGGACAAGATAATGAATACATTTCTTTTTTTTGGGGGGGGGTCCGGTCGTGGGGCCTGAACTCTAGACCTGGGCGCTGTCCCTCAGCTCTTCAGCTCAAGGCTAACGCTCTTGAGCCACAGCACCACTTCCGGCTTTTTTCTTTTTGCTTATGTGACGCTGAGGAATTGAACCCAGGGCCTCAGGCATTCAAGGCAAGCGCTCCACCGCTGAGCCACCTTCCCAGCCCTATGAATACATTTCTTATCAAGCATTGAGTTTCAGAATTCTTTGATTCCTAACCTTATACCCACTGTTCCAAAGCCCAACTGTGATGGAGAGAATCAAGTTGTCTCTGCAGCATAGAGCCTGCTGTAGGATTTGAACACCTTGTTAAGGAAGGTAATACTTTATTCTGTAGAGTAGGTGGTGCTTCTTAAGAGTTATAGGCAGGAAAGAGGGTAAAGAGAATTTCACAGCCATAAAACTGAAAATAACCATTGTAATATTTGTTTTTTCCTGAAAAGTCTCAAATGAGAATAAAGATACTTCTAAAGACATGTTTTCTTAATGAATAGTGGGATTTACATTAAAATGGAATTAAGGAAATGATACAAGTCTTCCATTTATTCTCTTAGGCAGGAGACTGGTTTCAGCATTTGGCCTACTAAGTTCCACATCCCAGGAATCTCTATAACATGCCCTATCCGCTCATCTTCATTCCTTGTTCTTGCTGTATAATCAAAAAGTTTGTTCATACAAAAGGTAACATACAATTAATTTTTTAAAATAAAAATTAACTTCTATAATGGAATAGTTGTGGATATATTTATATTTGAATGGTAGTTGATTAAAGCATGCAAGTATTTATCCCTTTGATAGCTTTAGATAGTAATCTCAGAGTTTTCTTTGTAGTAGGGCTTGAACTCAGGATCTAGTGCTGTACTACTTGAGCCATACCTTCAGCCAGCTTTTTTTCCGGTTAATTGGAGATAGGGTCTCACTAACTTTTCTGTTTGGGATCCTCTAGCTCTCAGCCTCCTAAATCGCTAGGATTACAGGTATAAGCCACTGGCCACTGGCTCTAGGTAAGAACTCTATTAAATTATCAAACTGATAGTGTATATGTGTTGAACTTTACAGAAGTGTGATGTCTATGATTTTTTTCTCACCATTTTTAATTGTAATGAAACCACAGAACCTTAACTATGTCATATTTAGTCAAAATGCTGTGTCACTTGTTAATAAATATATCCATTGTTACTTTATAACAGCCTTGTCTCCAAAGCTTCAAATAAAGGCTGATTTTAGACTCTTAGTTATTAATGTTCTAGGGGTATTGCCAAAAAAAGCTACATGTCCTATATTCTGTGCCAGTTTCTTAAATTAGAATCCTGGATTGCATCCTCAGCGTGTCACTGTAGTGGAAGTGGTATTGCTAGGTTGCTATGATACACAGTGCTTGTTCCATAATTTGTAGCATGAATCCTTCCTACATGAGATCTTACTTTAGGTTTCAAAGATGTGAGCAGAAGTAATTGGAAATGTGATCTATAAGACTATTTCTGTTACAAATAATTATACCTGCTCCTTCAAATATTTATCTTTAAACATAGAGAAGTAACGAAGACCTTAATTATTCCTAAGAAGTCTATCACTTGATCTTACTGAAGATGGACAAGAAGAGGAAAGTTTGTAATAGTATATTAATATTTCATTGTATTTATACTTGTTGAGATATATGATATATATGCATGCATACATATATGCATACATATAACACATATGATACATATACACATGTATATATGTATACATCTATAGGTGTGTGGATATATATAATATATATGTACGTATTTAGTTTTTGGTGCTGGTCCTGGGGCTTGAACTCAAGAACTGAACATTATCCCTGAGCTTTTTTGCTCAAAGTTAGTGCTCTATCACTTTGAGCCACAGCTCCACTTCTGGTTTTCTGGTGGTTAAATAGAGATAAAAATATCACAGACTTTCTTGTTCAGGCTGGCTTTGAACCACGATCCTCAGATGTTAGCCTCCTGAGTAGCTAGAATTATAGGCATAAGCCACCAGCACTCAGCTATAGGCAATACATTATATTAAGACACATTTAAGATAGTACCAACAAAACCATATAGGGAAAAATTCCAGATTATCTTACTGTACTAATTTTTAAAAATCAATTAACTTAAAAACAACCATACATAATGTTACTTCTTTTTTTCATTTTATGTGTTGGTTTTAAAGTTCCCTTTTATCTGTTATTTCAAAGACTTTATCAGTCTAGTTTAGTATAAATTAAGTGCAACTTCAAAGATTAAACAAGGGTACTGAAGGTTGTCTTCTGTTCACATTTGTGGTGGACTGAAGTTTATGTGACTGTTCATCAGTGACGTTACCACATTTGCTGTAAACTTTTACTGTCATTCAGTGATGCCTGGGTTATTTGATATGAAGAACATATAGAGACCAGGACTGGACTACATTTTTTAAATAGTTTTCATCACTTAAGAATGAAATTGCAAGCCGGGCGCTGGTGGCTCACGCCTGTAATCCTAGCTACTCAGGAGGCTGAGATCTGAGGATCGCGGTTCAAAGCCAGCCTGGGCAGGAGAGACCTTGAGACTCCTATCTCCAATAAACCACCAGAAAACCGGAAGTGGCGCTGTAGCTCAAGTGGTAGAGCGCTCGCTTTGAGCTGAAGAGCTGAGGGACAGTGCCCAGGCCCAGAGTTCAAGCCCCACGACCGACAAAAAAAAGAGAATGAAATTGCAGGGGAGGGGAGATGGTGGGGGGGAGATGGGAAGGGATGAGAAGGGGAAACAAAGGAGGAGGCAACAATGCTTGATAAGAAATGTACTCATTACCTTGCCCATGTAATTACGGTATTTTCACAATTAAAAAAATGAAATTCTATATATTCCATTATCAACCTTTGTTTTCTTAGAATTCCCTTTTCCCCATTCCTAAGCAACCACTAATCTACTATCTCTGTATTTTTCTGTATGCATAGTCCCTGAGCTTCTTTTGCTCAAAGTTAGCACTCTACCACTTGAGCCACAGTGCCACATCCAGCCTTTTCTATCATGTGGTACTGAGGAATCCAACCCAGGGCTTCATGTATGCTAGACAAGCACTCTACCACTAAGACACATTCCCAACCCCTGTATGGTCTTTTGTGACAAGCTTTCACTTAGTATAATATTTTCAAGGTTCATCTGTGTCATAGCATGTAGCCATTCATCATTTGGATTGTTTCTGCCTTTTGATTATTCTGAGTAATTTTGCAATAGACAGTCATGTACACATTTTTGAGTGAATATATATTTCTCTTGGGTGTATGTCTAGGAGTAGAATTTCTGGTTCATATGATAATTCTGTGTTTAATTGATTAAGGAACTACTACACTATTTTCCACAACCGCTACATCATTTTACATTTCTTCCTGCAATGTATGAAGTTTCTGATTACTCCACACTCTTGCCAGTACTTTTTTCCCCCTTGGCATGGATGTGAATATATTATATTTTAATCAGAATAACCTTCTCTATTGCTTTGCCTTTCCCTGGCCCACTATAATGTTCTATTGATCAACAGCTTTCATTTAGAGTTTATGCCATCTTCATACATAGTTGTGCAGTGTATTTTGGTATTATTCGCTGTTCACCATTCTTTATCTGACTTTGTTATAGCCATTCTAATAAATGTGAAGTATTGTCCTATTATGGCTATGATTTGAATTTCCCTTGTGACTAATAATAGGCATCTTTTAATGTTTATTGGCCATTTGTATATCCATTAAAGAAAAGTCCAGTCTGATGATCCCTATTGTTGATTGGCCTGTTTAGTTGACTCACATTTAATGTCATTATTGAAATATGTGGATTTGTATCTCTCCTTTCCCTTTTTGTTTTCTGTGTTCCTTGCATCTTTTTCCTGCTAGTTTTATTGCTTTTAGAAATGGCCATTTTCTTTTTTGTTTGGTTTTTTTAATTGTGAAATTACCATATAGAGTGGTTACAATTACATGAGCAAGGTAATGAGTACATTTCTTATCAAGCATTGTTGCCTCCTCCTTTGTTTCCCCTAACCATCCCTGCCCTCCTATCTCCCCCCCCCGTTTCCCCCCCCAAATGTCCATTTTCTTATTGAGCATTTAAATTTGTTTAATGAAGCTTTTCAGTATGTATTTTTGAGGGTATTTTTTCTTTTATTTAATCATACACATTTTAATTTATGGGTGGCTCAGTGGTAGAGTGCTTGCCTTGCATACATGAGGCCCTGGGTTCTATTCCTCAGTACCACATAAGCAAAAAAGCTGGAAGTGGTGCTGTGGATCAAGTGGTAGAGTGCTAGCCTTGAGCTGAAGAAATGAGGGATAGGGCCCAGGCCCAGAGTTGAGGCCCCTTGACCAACCAAAAAAAAAAAAAAAAAGAATTTGGTTCAACTTTATACTTCATTAATTTCAGTGAGATATAGAATCATTACTCAAATTTTCTAATATGACTATCATGTCTTTTTGTTATACAGTCATGTATTAATATAATAACTCCAATATTAACTTTACATTGTTTTACTTTCCTACCAGTAGTTATTTCTTTAACTCTGCACTTCACTGGTGTTATTAGTAAATATATTCAATTCCTATATATTAACAACTCAGCAACACTTTTTTACTTTTACTGTTTTATGCAGTGGCCTGCAAAATCCAGTTAAGAAAGAAAATAAACTTAAAATGTTATATCTGTACAGTTACCTTTATTGATGTCCTTTGGGTTTTGTCAGATACAGTCATACAGATTAGCTTCTGTGGTCACTTGCTTTCAGCCTGAAGGAATTTCCTTAGTATTAAGGGAATTAGCTGGCAAGCCAGCTAACAATATTTAATTTTTTTCTGCCATGAAATATCTTTGTTTGACTTCATTTATTTTAAAAAAATGTTGAATATAGAATTTTTGGTTGAGAGTTTTTTCTTCAAACACTTGGAATGTTATTCTGTTTTTTTTTCTTTTTTCTTTTTCTTTTTTGTGTGTCCTGGAGCTTGAACTCGTAGTCTATGCTCTGTTCCTGAGCCTTTCGGTGCTCAAGGCTAGCACTCTTACCACTCAAGCCACAGCAATACTTTTGGCTTTTTCTGAGTTTATTGGAGATACAATCTCACAGACTTTCCTTCCCAGGCTGCCTTTGAACTATGATCCTAAGATCTCAACCTCCTGCGTAGCTAGGGTTACAGGTGTGAGCCACCGGAGCACAGCTTGTTATTCTGTTTTCTAGTCTCTGATGTCTTTGCTGTGAAATTAGTTACTAATCTTAGTTCCTCTAAATAACTAGCTGATTTATTTTGCTGTTTTCAAATTTTTCTCCTTGTCTTTGACTCTCAGTGTTAGTACAATAAATCTGTGGATCTCTGAATTTCTTACTGGAGTTTTTGAGCTTAGATTTATAAAGTTAGAATAATTCAATACATTTGGGAAGTTTTTAGTCATTTCTTCAAGGTATTTTTTCCCCTTTCTCTCACATTTCTCCTAACACTTCCACTATTTTTCTTCATCCTTTTTATTTTCCATCCTTTAGATTGTGTAATCTCTGTTGATGTATCCTCAAGTTTCTTAATATTTTCTAATGCCAGGTCACATCTCCTAATGAGTCTTGTTAGTGACTTAAAAAATTCTCTTATTTCAAATTCTCTCGCCAGCAGTGTTCTCTACAGGGGGAACATACTAGAGTTAGAATTTGGGCCGCATGCTTGT